ACACCTCTTCAGTCAGTTCTGCAGGACCCCAAATGAGCTCTGACCAAGTGGAGAAGCCGCACCCTTTGAAGGAGGTCTCAGCAAATTGCTGAGTGGATCATCCTTAATTTGGCAACAGTACAAATTAAGCAGGTTGCAAACCACCTGGAGTCAAAGGATCTGGGTTCTGCTGTATGGAAAGGTTCTGGCCAGCAGCATACATGGTCACATACACACTGTTCCTTTCTTTGAATAATGAGATAACCAATATGAGTGTTTCACCTGTGATGCTGACCCTTCCACATAAGAGAGCAGCAGCCATTGTGTGCATAGTCTTTCCTTTCCATTGTCATTAGTACTGGCTGTATCTACATGAGTGGCAGACTGTGCAGTTGTTACTGTGCAGTCATTTAGTACTTGATTATGCAAGTACTAAATGAGTGAGCACAAACCAGCTTTACTGTGCAGTAATGTTCCTGCATGGGTTTATTCTGATGCTGCTGCTCAGTAGCAATGAGCTACTGTGCAGTAGCTCATTACTACTGTTCATTAGTGTTGCATCACTGTTAGTGCTCCCCAGTGCTGCTGCTGCACAGTAGTGTCTTATGTAGACATGGCCATTGAGAAGCTTTGCTGTAATGTCCTACCAGTTAGATAGCATTAATGCTATAGCCTTGCAAGGGAATTCCCATTTTCTGGCCACTGGTGCGTTCAACTACTATTGTTTTTGCTTGTCCTTGCTTCTGTGAATTCCTTTTCCCTTGCTGACCTTGCTTTAGTATTGCGTATGATGTCGTATGTGTGACATGGCATGTGGTGTGAGGGAGCCAGGAACACAGAGTTTCTGCCAGCGGCGGAGCGGAAAAATAGTATAACAATGCAAGGCAACCTGTTTCCTGACTTGACTTGTTTGGTTCAACACTCTTTTCCCAGCTGAGAGTCACATTTTCACAGTAACTTAATCATTAGTGAATTAGAAAATGTGTAAGAAATACTTAATTAAAAAACCACTACCAGGATGATGTATTCAACAAAGTAGTAGCCTTGTGAGTATACTGTGCAAGTTTCCTTCCTGCCCGTTCCCATCCCTCTGTGTACCACTGAATAAAATCTCTCAAACAGGGCTGGTTTTAGGGAAAATGGTGCCCTGGGTGAACTTACATTTTGATGCCCTTTCTTTGAGTTTAAGTATGTAGTAGTGTTAGTTGAAGTGTCAGAAATAAAGCCGTGGGGAGGAGTGGCTCCTGGGCTGGATCAGAAGACTTGCTTCCATGCCAGCAAGCACCTCTGCTGCTGTGTGGGAGCAAGGCAGGCAGACTGGAGCAGGTGCCACCCTGCCTGCATGTGCCCAGCCTGGCTTGGTTCTTCCTCAGCCTGCCCTCTGGCTGGAGGGGGAGGGGGAGCTGGGCTGGGTACTGCTAGTATGCTTTCAAAGTGTGCTAGTGACTCGGGATTCCATTTGGACTTGGGTACCTAAGTCACTTAGGTGACTGGAATTTGTACTTCACATTTTTAGGGAGCATAAATAGATGTAGCTCCATTGAAGACAGTAGGGGTTTACCAATTTATGTTACCTGCCCAGGGGGTGGTGCAGGTGCGAAGGCACAGGGTGGACAGCTTGGAGGTCACAAATTCAAGGCCATGGCAGAAGCACCCACAGCATGGCCCTGTCAGATTCCAGTGAATCTGTAAATTTTGCTAAAATACCTTGTCACAAGGACATAAAAATGGAAAAAGACCACCTGCCCCCATGTGCGCCATTAGAGGGTTGTCAAGCTTCTCTATGGTGTGTATCATCTTTTCAGAGAGAGAGTTTCATGGGCATCTCTCCTCCCATTCTCAACTGCAGGATGCCATTTGCATCCACTCACAGTTCAACACATCATCACTCCTCTTCCAGCCCTGATGACATGACATCTCTAAAGCAGTTGCAACAATTTTCATGTGGAATCTGCCGTTAGAAAAGCATTTAGTGTATTTTCAGTTTCCTTTCATGGAATACAGTGCCATGAGACCAGCCAACTCCTCACAGAGCTCCACACTTTTCATAGGACTGAGCTTATGACACAAGTTACATGGACAAGAGATAGTTGTGAGCTGGCAAACAAGCCTCCTGCCTAGTCATAGTTACTAGACGGTGGTAAGATTTGTACTACAGAGACCTATGCTTTCAAAACCATTCAGTGTTGATCCAGTTCTGCTCTCATTGAAATGAGTGGTAGACTAATTTCGGTAGGTGCATCTACACGTGCTTTACTGTGAAGTTGACTAATTAGCTCCACAGTAAAGCATCACTGCCTATACGTGTGTCTCAACTGGGGTGCGGTAAATAAATTAACTCCACTGTAAGATAGTACTGTCCAGGACAAGTACTATCCCACGGCAGTCATTAAGTGCACTGCAACGCACATGTTGATTGTGACCAGGGCTGACTGGGGCATGAGGGTGCTACAGTGCTGGGCATAGGCGGCAGAAGGGAGGCATTAATGGGGCTAACCTTGCCAAACGCGGGGCAGTGGTAGGGCCGCAAGGCAGCCCGGCCACGGACTTCTGGCGGCTGTAGCAAGGGTGGGGAGGGAGTGGGAGTGGGGCTGGGGTGCAGAATGGCGTTGCAAGTGACTTATCTGGGGGGTGCCCGGCATGGGGAGGGGGTGGTGGCTCCTGCTGCTGCGCACAATCTGGGAGGGCATGGGGGGCATGTGCTCCTGGATCTGTGCCAGGGGAGGTGGGTTGCCGCTGCGGGCTGGGGCCAGGGCTAAGCTGGACTCTTCCTGGTGTGGGGTGGGAGGCTGGGCCAGGCTGCGGTTGAGGCAGGCAGTAGCAGCACTGGAAGCGTGAGATATGGGGGGGGGGCTGCAGCCACCCTAAAATTCACCATAGCTCCCCCAACCCCCTTCCCAGCACCATCACCGCCCACCTTGAGTGCACCGTGGCCCAACCCCCTGCCTAGAAAAGCCTGGCTTAGTACCGGGCCAGGCCGAAGCTGCAGCCTGCCTCCCCCCAGGCAGAACTGGGGGAACATGTCCCCCATGCCCTCCTAGGGTGCACAGAGCGGCGAGAGCTGCCACCCTCTCCCTGTGCCAGGTGCCCCCAGACAAGCCGCTTGTGGTTCCATCCCATGCCCCATTTGAGGGCGCTGAGTGTGCGTGCATGTGCACTCAGCTCCTGCCAAATAATTTTTTCTCCCTCCACCTAACCCTAACCTTAACCCTGCTGCCTAGCGCCATGCTGTTGCACCCTCATGCCCCAGCCGCTCTGCTGCCCAGTGCCACCACCTGGAGCCTCGGGCTGGGCCCTCTGCCAGTCCAGGGCTGCTCCGTATGGTTTTGGGTGCATGTATAAACACTGCACTTAGGAGAAATAAAACTCCGGCATAAACTATGCTGAAGTTTATTACTCTGTACTAATTGATGTGTAGATGCACCCAGTGAGAGCAGATCTAGGCTGGAAAGAGCTTTTGGATACTCCACCATGCACTATAGAATACAGTATGTAAACAGCAATAAAATTTGTTATGTATTTATAATGAACTGTGCTGTATAAGTAATACCATTGATAGATTTCAAGGCCAAAAGGGATAATTACAATATTTTTGTCTGATTTCTAGCATCAGACAGGGCACAAAAATAAACACAGGGAACAATGATTTTTGCTTTGAGCTTAGTAACTTGGGGTTAAACTAGAATTCACTTTTTAGGACGAGCAGGCTGTCTTGATTGAGAGACTTCAGGCTATGGAGAGGGTCTAGTCAGAGAAAGGGAAAACTGTAGTGGTTAGGATACTGTTAGGACTTCAGACAGCCCAGGTGCAGTCCTCTCCTCCGCCACAGACTTTGTGTGTCCTTGGCTGCATCACTTAGTGTATATCAACCCTACTTAGTGGTGTAATGGTTTAACTGTGCAAATGAATTTATCACAACAAATTCTTAGTAGTGTGAGTTACCCTATGTAGAATGACAGGCTCCCACAGTCAGATTGCTTCTGCTACCCAGGTTAACTTGCTTAGAACTGGCTCCAGTGTCTTGACATGTCACTGAATTGTGTAATATATTCATACCCTTCGCTTCAGTTGCTCATCTGTAAAATGGAGATGACAGTATGTCTTGTCTCTTAAGGTAGTTGTGAGGGTAGGTATATTGCAGACCTTGAGGTGCTCAAGATACTACAGGAGTGGTGGCCAAGTAAGGACCTAAGACACAATTATCCTTCCTGTTAAAAATTTGCTCCTTATATCCATTCTGGATTTGTCTGGCTTGCCCTCCACACTTTGGATCTAGATATGCCTTTATCCGCTAGGTTAAAGGCCCATCTCCTATCAGAATATACATTCACATGTAGGTACTTACAGGCCATGACCAAGTCTCTTCTTAACCTTGCTTGCAGTAAGATCAGCAGGTGTTTAATGCACCTGTGCATAACTCATCTATTCATACCCTTGACTGAGTATCATAATGAGGTCTTGTAACATAGGCTGCCTTTGATGATTTGAGATAATTGATCACGGTTGTCCAGCCAGCAGTTTTGCAGCAGCTGTAGCTATTTCACTCACTTCACTTCCTCTTAGCTTCTAACTCAGCCTATCAGCATTCTGCTCACCCACTCACTCCAGGCAGGGAATGGTTTTTGAAGGGTGAGTAATATATTGCTTGTTTGTCATAAGCATCCATCTCCCAATGCTCCTGGATGATGTTGTGAGGAGGGGAGAGGCTTTCTGAGCTCTGTAACACTAGTTGTTGCATCTAAACAAGGACAGGGTTTGGGGATGGATGTGTCTGCATGGTTTTAGAGAGCCAGATAAATCAGTCCTTGCCAAGAGCAGGTGAGTGGACAAGTTACCTTGATTGCTGTTGTTGTATCTGATTTATGGTAATGCAAGAGGCTAAGATTCAGGTCCCCATTGTTAAGGATGTGTGGGGTAAAGATATTCCTTATCCCAAAGACCGCGAAGTCTTAAAGTGGTTGATTTTCAGGACAGTTTTGCCAAGTCAATGTTATTCTCTTCTACATTTTCTTTTCATGTAGCCGACAATGCCAAGCCCCGTTTCCACCTGTGCCGGCACAACAGCACAGCCCAATGTCCTCCCAGGCATCTTCCGTGACTGGCCCACTGCATTCAGCCTCCCTGACTCCACTCTCCGCAGCCGGAGCCGTGCAGCCTCCACCAGCAACACCGCCCAGCCAGCAGCTCACGCCCGATGCATTTGCCATTGTGGAACGTGCACAGCAAATGGTGGAGATGCTATCAGAGGAGAACCACGTTCTACGGCAGGAGCTGGAAGGATACTATGAGAAGGCAAACAAACTCCAGAAGGTAGGTGGAGCGTACTCACAGGGTGTAAAATAGGCAAGACCCTTCTGCACTATGTGTAAAGAGGAACAGGTAGTGGCAACAATGGGGAAGAACAGCTTATTTACACAACAGAGCTACTGCCGTGACAGCTTTGTCAGCATGTCTATGCTGGTAGAGAACCCTGGCAGAGATAATGCATGTGCTGGCTGAAGGTGTTTTTGGCTATCGTAGCTATAGCCGAACAGCACAGGCTAAGCCAGAAGAGCCCCTTTTTCTGTTAGGACAGCTGCATCCACACTTAGCCAGCAAAACTTTGGAGTGTGGCTGAAACCCTCCGTAACCCTTAAACTGAGTCCCTCAAACTGCTTAACGCAGCCTGTGGTTCCCTGTGTCATCATTACTCAGCCCCTCTGTACATCCTCCCCAGACACAAGACAAAGAAGGCCGTGCAGGCTCCTTCATCACAAAGACAGAAGGCTTGTCAGATTTCCTTTTGTTGGAAACATCATCTTTCACTTTGCACACATTATCTTAATGCCAATCTTAGGGAACCCCCCCTTCAGTAGTCTTCTTGTTAGGTTGCAGAATCTGAATTTAGGGTATTCTTAAGCCAGCACCTAGTTACAAATGTAGCATAATCAGTAGCACATTGCACAAAATATATGTAGTAATTATAACAAAATATGTCTAGTGTTGTATTGCATATTTGAGTAGATTTGCAATAAGCCCACTCTTTTAATAGAAAAAGAATATGCTGCAGCCGAGGGTTGACTGATGTTTTGGGATTTGGTTTCACATGTTTTTAAACTACACTACACTACACTACACTAAACAAAAAAATCCTCTAGAATCAGATCCCAGTTGTCAGACATCTGTATCAGCAGCCTGATTTTTAGAGGTGATTTCAAAGACCCCAGTATGGATTTAGATCTGTAAACCTAGGCTCCCCAGTTTGAACGTGTTGGCTTTAACTCCTGGCTCTCACATCATACATAAAATAATAAAACAGTGCCTTTGCTGAGACATCTTTTATAGGGATGTTTTTGTCATATTTTCAGTGTGCCCTGCAAAGTGAATGAGGCTCTTCAGTAGGAAAGATAAGTGTGTAACTAACTGCCTAAAGCAACAGAACAACAATAGGAGATAACAGAAAAACAGAGAATTGAGGGAAGCTGGTGCTCTTTAAAAATCAGACTCACTGCCAAAAATGGGTACTTTAGGGTATCTCTTCTCCAGGATAATATCTGGCGGCTTATCACGGCTAGAATTTTGAGGACTTTTTCCAGTCCTGGAGTTTGAGCATATTTGCACATAAAGGGTTATGTGCAAAGGCAAGAGCCACCGTTCTGTGCATATGCACAAATGATGAACAAGCATGAGCAGCATATACAAATGCAGTGACTAGGCATGCAAAGCCAGGGGGTTATCCAAAACTTTACACTCTCAACTGCAACTTGCCCTCCAATCTCTGCTGTGGACTCTGACAGATTTGTAATTGGGATCTGACAAGTTTCATCAGCCACTGTCAGGATAGAAACAGATATCGACTTTGTGCAACCATAAACATTTTTATGGCAGCACAAAGTGAAAACAAAAAGACATCCATGCCTTTTGTCATGCCACAGATGTGCAAATTTATGGCTGTGACAAAAGCTAGTATTAATTTGAGCTGCCATTTTGAAGTGGATGTTTGTTTGTTTTAAGGTGGGAAAGTGTGGGCAGCATGGACCTACCTGCACTATCCAGCCACCCTAAATAGGTGCTCTTAGGGCTTCAGGGTCTGATCTTGAGCACCTCTAGAATTCCTGGGAGAGAATTCTGTTTATAGCCTCAGTGATTGGATCCTGGGATGGATGGGCCATTGGTCTGACCCAGAATGGCACTTATGTTGTTACATTCATTGGTCATTCATCTAAAAGGGCTCTTTTCTTACCCATTTGGATGCAATTCACAGACAGTGTCAATCTAAATTATTTCTGGGGATGAGGGAGAGCTGTGGGTCTTCAGCAGCTCTACAAATTAATCTATTCCCATAGAAGCCTATCTCACATAGTTGAAGCGATGACAAACTTTAAAAAAAGACATGGACCTTGCTTTGTATTATTGAAGTGAAAAAGCTATATATTTTTTCTAAGGAAAATATGAATTTATGAAACAAAGCAACAATATGAGTAGCAACCTCCCCACCACTCCTATTTATAGTACAGAATAGAACAAAATAGGATAAAAATAGTGGGGAAAGAAAAACAGACTGTCCATGATATATACAACTCCTTGTTAAGAACAGATTGTCCCCCAAGTGGTATCAAATTCTACACCATACTTGAATAGATAGTTAGCAGTGAGTTACAAGGTAGTGATTAATCCCAGTGTTGTTTGAAATGTTGTCTCATTTTTATAAATGAGCTGTTATCTTTTTTATATCTCTTTTTTAGCTTATTTGTTCGTTGCCTTTTTTTTTTTTTGGTCAGGAGTGTTACCTCTTTGAAGCTTAATTATCAGGTTGGCATGGTTTCTATCAGTGTCTCATCATGTAGGTTGTTTGAGTGGGTTGGCACTAGAAACTCAAGGGACAGAAGGGATTGGGTTTTTTGTGAAGGAAATTGCAGTGCTGCTGAGAAACATGAGCGTCATTTACTGGTGTTCCTCTCCTCCCACTTTATCATGTTTAAACAAGAGTGGCTTTGATGAAAGTCCTCATTTTATCCTAGAGCAAGCCTGCTTTTGCCAATACAGCTAGACTGGGCAAGGAGCTTATGTGGTGGAGGGCATTTTGAAAAATGATGGTGTTTAGAGCACAGGATAAAAGTCTCACTTGCTCTCTGTAACTGTATTGATCAGATCTAATAAGCTGTTAAACTACCAGGATGTGATAGTACATTAATGTCATTGCAGTAGGAACTTTATGGAACCAGGGTGCTCAACCCCTGGACCATGGGCAAGATCTGGCCTGTGGAGCCATGTCATCCAGCCCATGGGACTCCCCATAGGTCCAGAAAGGTGGTAGAAGGGACGTGGTGCCAATCAACACCACTGTCACTTCCCTGCTGCCAAGCTTCCAAGCCCCATACACCTGGATCAGCCCTGATGGGGCCATTCCCATGCAGCTAGATCAGACCCAGTTAGACTGTTCCCATGCAGCACTGCACTGGGGCCAGGACTGCATTCCAGATTGGTCCCATGGACCGGATCCCACCTGTGGACTGATTTAGCATCACTTATCCAGCCTGTGGGACAAAAAGGTTGGGCACCACTGTTATAGTGCATCAAAGAGTAACAGATTAACACAGGAAGATGGTAGTGTGAATAGAGCACAGTTTCCACCTCTTCCACAGGTTTTCAGTATGGACTTAGGTTAGTCACTTCAGTTTTCTGTGCCTGCATTGTGTTCTGATCTGGAAAATGGAAGCACCAATTGGAAATGAAATCCTGGTATGATATTATAGTTAAGAGGAGTGATAAAGTTCTTGGCTGTATCCAGAAGGGAGTATTGATTGATAGTAGGGAGAAGGGGGGTTATCTCCCCTGTTTGTGGAATTGACAGTTGTGATCCAGTCATGATGTCTGAACTTTAAAATGGATGTTGCATAATTGGAGAGGATTCAGACAAGAACTACACGAGCGATCCGAGGTCTGGAATACCTGCCTCTTAGTGAGGGTCTTGGAGAAGGTCGTTTTATTTAGCTGGTCAGAGAGAATGCTGAGAGATGTCTTGGATGTGGTCTATGACCTGTTGAGAAAATTCCTGAAAATAAAGGAGTCGGGCTCGATGATCTATTGAGGTCCCTTCTGACCCTAACATCTATAACATCTATGAAAGGACTGATTAATCTGGCGGTGGGCATAGCAGGACCCAGTATCTGGAAGCTGAAATTAGTTGAAATTAGGTGAGAAATAAGGGACAAACTTTCAACAAAGGAAGTGTCAGGACAATTTTGACTACAATGTACTGGCTTCTCCATTGTTTGAAGACTAAATGCAGATGGAATATCTTTCTAAAAGCTATGCCTTCAGACAGCCAGAATGTTTGGGGCTGATTGAATTGCTGAGTGAACTCTTTTGGCTTATGTTATAGATTCATAGATGTTAGGGACCTCACGGGATTATCAGGTCCAGCCCCCCTGCACTTGGGCAGGAAAGACGGCTGGGGTCAGATGACACCAGCAAGATGCACATCGTCATTTTTTAAAAATCTCCAGGGTAGGTAATTGTACCACCTCTGGGGGAAGTCTGTTCCAGACCATAGGCACTTGAATCATAAAGACATTTTTCATATATCCAATCTGAAGCGATCTTCAGGCAGTTTGTGTCCATAGTTTCTTGTCTTCCCTTGGGGTGCCTTGGTGAATAGATGCTCCCCCAGGCCCTGACCTATGCCCCTTCTATACTTACAGGCTGCCACCAAGTCCCCTCTAAGTTTTCTCTTCTCCAGGCTGAGCAATCCCAAGTCCCTCAGTCTCTCCTTGTATGGCCTGCTCTCCCGACCTCTAATTATGCACGTGGCCCTCCTTTGTACTCTCTCAAGCTTCTCCACATCCCTCCTGAACTGCGGCACCCAGAACTGAACGCAGTACTCCAGCTGCAGTCTCACCAAGGCCAAGTAAAGTGGAAGGATAATATCCTTAGTCTTGCTTGAGATGCACTGGTAGATGCATGCCAGTATTTGATTTGCTTTGCCAGCTACAGCAGCACATTGGTGGCTCATGTTTATTCTGTGGTCTATCATGACTCCCAGGTCTCTTTCAGTTGTGGTGCTGGCGAGTGTAACACTGCCGAGCCTGTAAGCGTGTTGGGGATTATTTCTCCCCAAATGGAGCACTTTACATTTCTCCATGTTAAACATCATCAGGTTTTGATCCACCCACCTTGCAAGCCTGTCCAGGTCAACCTGTCCTCGAGCGCGACTGCATTCTCCCATAATTTGTTGTCATCCATGAACTTTGCCAATATGCTTTTAACATCCGAATCCAAATCATTGATGAATATGTTGAAAAATACTGGTCTGAGTACTAAACCCTGAGGGCCGCCACTGGTCACCTTCCACCTCGTTGACTCAGTTCCGTCTATTAATACACTCTGGGTCCTACCTCAGAGCCAGTTACCTAGCCACTGAACCATAAAGTAGTTGAGGCCGCAATTTCCCAATTTTACCATGGGAGACTAAATCAAAGGCTTTTTTGAAATCCAAATATATGACATCAACCTTATCTCCCTTATCTAGGTGGTGAGTTACCTGATCGTAGAAGGAAATGAGGTTGGTCAAGCATGACCTGCGTGCAGCGAAGCCATGTGGGCTGTCCTGTAGAATAATGCCTTCTCTTAGCCTTCCAATAATGACTACTTTGATAATTTTTTCCAGGATTTTTCCAGGGATTGAGGTCAAACTGATTGGCCTGTAATTCTCTGGGTCCTCTTTTCTCCCTTTCTTGAAGATAGGCATTGGGACCTTTCCTGAGTGCCACGAGTCCTCAAATACCTTTGCCATAGGTCACATGATGATGTTGGCCATTTCTTTCAGCACTCTCAGCTGTAGTTCTTCCGGTCCTGCTGACTTGTAGATATCCAGCCTCTCTAGATGTTCTTCCACAAGATCTTCACCAACTACGAGAGGATGATCACCCCTACCTTGATCATCTTGTAGCCTGTCAAGCAGGCTAACACCCTTGGACTGATGGACTACCAACATGAAGTATTTGTTTAGGAGTTTGGTTTTCTCCTGAGTGTTGGTTATCAGCTGTCCCATTTTGCTTAGCAGGGGCCCTATGTTTCCCTTATTTTTTCTCTGACTTCCTACATACCTAAAAAAGGACTTTTTATTGGCCTTGATTCCTGTTGCCAATTTGATTTCAGTTTCTTCCTTTACTTTTCTTATCCACTCCCTACAGGTGTGGGCTATTGTTATGTACTCCTCCTTGGTGGTAATTCCTGACTTCCATCATTATAAACTTCTATTTTCGATTTCAGGAGGTCAGTGACTTCCCTATTGAGCCAAAGGGGTCTCCCAGCCCTTTTGCTGCCTTTCTTATGAAAAGGAATGGATTTCCTTTGTGCTTCAAGGATTGCATCCTTGAAGAACAACCACTCTTTTTGGACTCCCTTCCCCATTGGACAGTGGTTCCACAGGGCCTCGCCACCTAGTCTCCTAAGCTTGTGGAAGTCAGCTTTCTTAAAATCAAAGATTTCTACCCTAATGATGATTTCCAAGTCTTACAGTAGATGGAGAAAGTGATCATCTCATGGTCACTGTCACCTAGCTTCCCTTCAATCCTCAGGTTGCTCACTAGATTATCCCCTTTGACCAGAACCAAATCCAGGAGTACCTTACTCCTGGCTGGCCTGTAGACTTCTTGAGTCAGATAGAGCTCGTCAATGCCAGTGAGGAAGCTTTACAAACGATCAGATGGCAGAAGCCAGGCTGCATGATCATAATAGGTTTTTCTGGCCTTAAAATCTCTGAATCTATGACTTTCTATTACTTCACTCTCATGCGTGGAAAACACTTTTATAAGTTCAGAGCACTTCTGGGTGGTAAGTGTTATTATGAAGCAAAAGCCAACTAAGTAAAAAGTATGATTTTGCATAAGTATCCTGGAAAACTTGCAAAAAAGAGGCTTTCTCATGAGGTTTTAAAAAGTTCAGTCATTTTTGTTTTTCATCTCCTGTAAAGCGGCCAAGTTTGGACACAATCTCATGAGAAAAGCTGTTTTGGACAGGATGGGAAAGATTCAGGTTGGACAAGGATTCTTTGGGGACAGAGGGTAAGGAATCATATTTGAGTCTGTTTGCTTGTTGCTGTTGGGAAAGAAAGAGCTGGCCAGTTCTCCATTTGTGTATAGGAAAGAGCATAAAATAAAATCTCTTCCCATGCCAGGTGGTTTTCTTGTAACAACAAAGTACTGGCATGATTTCTGCAAAGTTACTTTAAACATGCTTTCTTCTGTGGTCAGAATGTTACTGCTGTCTTGTTCTATGTCAGCTGGGCTAGGAGGAAAGTCCACCTTCCATGATGAGATTAGCTAAAAAATACTGCTGCTTCCCGGAGCCTTTGTTTTTAAAACCAAAATAAGATGTTAGGACAATAATTTGAGGTAGGACTAGAAAAGTGTTTCAGAACATACCAACTCACAGAGGGCATCTACGGGAGACACTTACTGCAGTTGCCTAATTAGCTCCACAGTAAAGCGTTACCATCTACATGTACGGAGCTATTAGACTGGAGTAAACTAATTAACTTCACCGGAGGTTAGTACTGCCTGACACAAGTACCATCTTACAGGGAGTTATTTACTCTGCTGCAACACACTTATAGCCTCCCACTCTAGCACCCTTGTGCCCCATCCAGCCCCTCTGCATCACACTGAGCCAGGGTGAAGCAGCTCCAGGCTGGCAGGCTAACCCCCCTGAGCCCCCTGCCAGCCAGGGACTGCACTGCCCCAGCTCAATGTGCTGCAGTCCCAGGTGCACATGTAAATGCTGCTTCTGGGAGCACTAAAGTCCAGCATGAACTGTGCCAGAGTTTATTTCATCACACTAATTTCACATGTGATGCACCCACTGTGTAGAAAGGTCATTGTTTTCTTTATGCTACGTAAGATTGAGTGTCACTTGAGAAGCAATGGACAGGAGGTAGTTTTTTGTTAGCAAAGAGCATTTTTAAAAATCTGACTACTTAGGATGATGATGTTTTTACCTGTGTAAAACACATAACACTTGGTAAATGATCAGGAAAGCTGAATACATAGTGTGATGCTTGGCAAGTTTGGGGCCTGAACTAAGTTGGATCTCCTTTGTTTCCAATAGGAGATATTCCATTGACTTCCATCAGCTTTGGATCAGTCCCGTTATTTACCGTACTACTTTCCGTCGTAAAGATTTGTACATCTTGAGCATCTGAATAAACTGAAAACTGAAAGTCTGTGGAAATGGCTGAGTTTCTCCTACTTCACTCCATATCAGAACTCTGCCAAGTTTCACATCACGCACTGTTCTAAATATTCCCAAACTTCATGGCAAATCTGGATGATGAAGCATGAGTCTGTGTTGGTTTCACATGGTTTCAGGTCATCTGGCAAATATTTTTCATTACTGTGATACCAGCTGGGTTTCTACTTTTCCAGTGCTGCAGTTGGCAGCAATAAGTCCAATAGCCACATCCTCCCTACAGGGTTCTCATGCCTGCATGAAGTCTATTGTAAGCAGAGGTGGACTCAGATCCAGTGCCCAGAAATCATGAGTCAGGCCTAAAATGTCATGAGGCTGGCTTAAAAATCATGAGATTTAAAAAAGGAATACTGTCGTCTTGGTATTTGTTTACTGGTTTTTACAGCTAACTTTAGGCTTTCCTTAACAAATGTGAGGACTGGAAACATAGGGTCCAATCCTGAGTTGGTGTAAGTCAGTGTAGTACCATTATTTTCAGTAAAGCTATGACAGGACACAGGCTAAAGCTCCAGTTGTTACTTTTTATTTATTTGCAGAGACAGGTAGTTAGACATGCTAGTCTGAAGTCTGGCAGAAGGCAGAGTAGAGGTGCACCTTATAGGCTAACTGAATCAGAGATGCATAAGCTTTCATGAGCAAGAGCTCACTTCACTTAGTATCTGATGAAGTGAGCTCTTGCTCATGAAAGCTTATGCACCTCTGATTTAGTTAGTCTATAAGGTTCATATCCATATCATGCCTTCTCTTTTTTTTTTTTTTTTTTATAGATTTCTCTTTTCTCTGGACTCTACAAGCTCGTTATCATAACTGAAAACCACACCCTGCACTTAACTTTCCTGGTGCCACCCTTGTGTCCAGCCTGGGATCTAAGTTTGTAATATAAGTCTCTCTTTTTAATAGTCTACATACCAAATCTAGGCATCCAGGAGTTGGGGAAAGTTTGGATTTGAATCCCATTTTCAAAGTGAAGAGTGTTGAAACTTTGGGGGTGGGTTTTGGGGTTTTTTTGCTAAGTGCAATTCTGTTCTCACTTATACTGGAGTAGCTCCTTTGAAAGCGATGGATTATAGTGGTGTAAAAGTGATCACAGTTGGTTTACATGGGGACTTGGTGTTCACAGCTGAGTGTTTCATCTGGGAATCATCTTTCATGGTCAGGTAATAAGCCTTGCCTCTTCAAGCCCTTTCTAAGATAAAATGCAGTCCACACTATTTCCTTAATACCTTTCCTCCCAGGGCAGTTTTCAAGTGAAGGCCTTTGTTGTTGAAGAAACGGAAGGTGAAGGAGAAGGTGAAGTTGTTATGTCACACTAATCTCCACTTTGACTTTGTTCAGAAGCATTTGACTGAGTATTACGTTATGCTGTTGTAGCAGGATGTTTTCAGCGTGGGTGGGGAGTTGATTGCTCGTTGCAGTAGGAATGTTCAAACATGCACAGGGATCAGCTTTGTCATCTGTCTATGAGAAGTCTTATTATAGAATCGTATGCTTATGTGAAACTTGGAACGCTCGTCGGCCCTGACACACAAAACCCCCTTTGAAATGTTCCAAAGCGAATGTCAGAATGATATGAATTCCTGCCTTGCTTTAATGAGAGGTCTCTCTCCTTTCAGTTTGAAATAGAAATTCAAAGGATTTCAGAAGCCTATGAGGGCCTGGTCAAGACCACCACTAAGAGAGAGTCTCTGGACAAGGCTATGAGAAACAAGCTCGAAGGAGAAATTAGGAGACTTCATGATTTCAACAGGGATCTCCGTGGTATGTGAAGCTCCTTACAGCTGTTTTCACCCCAAGTGACATGTTCTTATCTCTCCAAAATTATCAGGCTCCACGTCACCAGCCGCAGGCTTTGGACAAACAGTTTCCTGAGTGTTCTAGGTAAACCCCTTGAGAAATCCACCTCTTTTTTTTGGTAAGGGACAAAACTACCATTGTCCCCCTGAGTACAAACATACATGAAAAACAGCTTTAAGCAAAAGTTTTTTGTTTTAGCCCTTAAAATACTAATTTAGTCCCAGGATCACCAATGTGTAAATCCAAGCTATCTACAAGGAGCTCAGCAATAAGCTGTAGCATAGCATAACATAATATTGAAGTGCTTTATAGTTACAAAGGGAGGGGAGTCAGTCTCAAAGGGCTTCCCTTTGAGTATGGGAAATTAGGAGGCACTTTTTTGCATGCAAATGGAAGTGCAAATTGTAGACTACTCAGTGAATGTGCGTAGATTCTTCTCTAGTGGACACCCTTTAAAAGGTGGGGCCATGTTTGTACACAATACAGAAGGGAAGCTGGCAAGCTTTATTGGAGGTAAAGAGTTATATTACCCCTAAGGCCAAGGGAGTGAAGGCAGTGTAGACTGATCAGTGCCTGATTGAGAGTGAAAGGCACCATAGGCATGTGTAGAGGGAGTCATGGTTCCAGGCAGAGCTTTGGCTGCATCAGTAGCTGCTGCTCTTCATGAGTGAAGGTCTTTCCGTGGTGACATACAGAGCTGCTGGCCACAGCACAACTGCCTTTGACCTTAGACTGTGAGTCACCCCTGTGCAAACCCCTAGCACAGTGCCTGTGCACTATTTCATGATCTCATTATACCTAAAGCAGGGGATATAAGCATTGAGTCCTTACTAGCTGTCTCCATGGAGCTGACTTTTACATACAAACCACAAGGAACTTGTCCACGCTGCAGTGGTGGCAGGTCCTAGTGAGGATGCCCATGCCCTGCCCACCCATGCCTGCTGACATGCTCCAAACCTGAGAGCTTGCCTGGGAGGCTGGTCTGGGCTCTTCTCCAGTGACCTCTCTCAGTCCTGTCAGAGACGGAGGGTCTAAGAGCAGGCACAGAGGGACAAGCCTGGAGCAGTCTCACTGGCATGTGTTCAGGCTTGGAGCATGCTTCTGAGCACAGGTGGGCAGGGAGGTCTTCAGTGGGACTCACTGAGGCTGTCGTATAGGCAAGCCGGAGAAATCGTATGCTGCAGTTCATGGCACGTTTTGTGCTCAGGTCCATCATATTTCCTGGATTGTTAATGTTGGCCTCATCTCCTGAAGCTAGAGTGGTTCAAACGGGAAATGGTGTGCAGGTTTTAACAGTAAGGGTAGCAAATGGTTGGAACAGATTACCAAGGGGATGAGGTGGGTTCTTCATCACTCAGCATCTTTAAATCAAGTTCTGGGACAGATACTTAGTCAGCCATAAGTTACTAGGTTTGTTGCAGAGTGAAACACTATTTGCATTATGTAGGAGATGAAACTATTATTATTAATCCTGTTTATTATAACAGTTCTTAAAGGCCAACCAAGAAAGGAGCCCCGTTGTGCTATAAACTAGAAGATCTAATTATCTCCTCTGGACTGAAAAATCTATGAAGGCATGAATTCTGCCAACCAATAAATAACATATTACCAACTAGAAAAAAAGGCTGTTCTTCTGGAGTGTGGGGTCTCATCCTCCACTCATATATACTTCAGCCTCCTCCATTTTAATATCCCCCTTCTCAGGTTCTATTTATAGCATACCACTGGCATGCATCTTATTTTCTTGGTTGGCCTATAATTTTATATACATATATTTATACTTAAAAGTATTTCCTGTTTATATGCAGAACGACTTGAGACTGCCAATAGGCAGCTAGCCAGCAGAGAATTTGATGGGCATGAAGATAAGGCAACAGAGGGCCTTTATGCCTTTCAGAGTGAGTACTGCATTCATCTGTTCTGAAGATATGGATTTGAGCTGGAGTAGAGGCTGCTTAGCTATCATTTTTATTGCCTTTGTGGTTTGGTTTTACTCAGTTAATTTGTCATGTAACCCTACGTAAACTACAGATTGGACTGCATAGAATGTTTTTCTTCTGAACAGCGGGAGTTCATGGTAACAAGAGTTAGCTTATTTTGTATAAATATTTATTTTATAACGTAAAGTGTTGCTTGCAGGGTAGTTTCTTGGGACACATACATTTTGGCAAAGCCAAGTTTTTCAGCTGGGCTGAATCCAAAGTAACCTCCACTGACTTTATTGGGTTTACTCTGAATTGATGCCAAAGTGAATGAGAGAAGAATCTGCCCCCTTTTCATGAGGGACCGGAGAGACAACAATCCTACAGTTTCTCATGATATCAGGAGCATCCACTTCCTGCAAGTAAGAAAAGCAGTAGCCCTGGGCTCAGGCTCATTGGTATTTTAGAAATTAAAGGACCTCTAAATAGTCTTAATATTCCAATAACTCCTATCTCTAATTTAGCCTGTGGATATGTGATTACTGTTATATGTTACAAATAACATTAGGCCTTATTGAAAGTAAATCACGTACCACACCACCCTGCAGATCTATTCAAAACCAATCCTCTACTAGGACCTTGGCCAGGGAGATATCAAACAAAAATATCCTTCTCACAAAAGAGTTTGGGCCAGATCCAGAAAAGCATTTAGGCTTAGTTGTAGTTCATGTGTGTAAGTCAAAGCGAGCCATCCACAAACTGAGGAGGTGCCAGAGGGGCCATACAAGCCTAAATTGTCACTGGTACGTTTACTTAGGTGCTGAAAATTCTGCTACATGCCACAACTGCCACCATCTTGGCTGGGCTGAATGTCTCTGTCCCTTATTGTCTGTCTCATGCCATTTGGGATTCATACACTACAGGGACTTGGGCAAACCTCCCAAGTTCATACAGATTGCAGCAGATTTTGCAGTAGGAGTTAAGCTGATTTCTCTTACTTCTGAGAACGCTCATTAGTCCAACTTTAGGTTCCTAAGGCTCTTTTCAGTATAAAATGGAAGCACCTAACCTAGGAAGCTAAGTGATTTGAATCACTTTGTATGACTTAAGTGCCTAATTTCTACCTAAGTCCAATTTAGATGTCTGTAGGGTGATTCAGAGCTTGTTCGACAGAAGACCTCAGACAAAGCTTCCTAGTGGTTGCTTAAGTATCCCCAAGCTCAGAATGCTATGTGATGTGATCCCCATTCTGGGTAACTCAACCCACCTCATTCACTGTATGGGGAACTTGGGAATTTGGCAATTCTACTTTGAGAGCTGGGTGCTTAAGTGTCTTTTGGATAAAATCCTAACATGAAAGGAGTGTACTTTATGTACTTAATGAAAGCTTGCTAGGAGGCAGAGAGACTCTCATATGACCATGGATTCCACAAAGTTAAAAATATTTAAGCAGAAATTTCTCTGCAAAATGACATTTTATGGTTTCAGGTTTATTCCCTTTCCATGGCTTCTGTATCAAATTGGACAAGTTTACAAGGCCAGAGAAGCAGGCGGAAGGGAAGCAGGTAGCAGATCCTTCACTCCTATAAAACACCTTCACTTAGCTGATGTCAGTGGAGCAATGCTGATTGACACCAGCTGCAGATCTGACTTAGGGTCCCCATCCACTGGCCCAGGAAACACCACTTTGGACTTGAAAAGTGTACTTCATTCTTTCTGGCTCATGCAACATCATCAGTAACAAAGATGCCACTATAGGAAATCACTGATAATTTGGTTGTTGATGCATAAAGTAAAAGAGAGTCTTATTCTTCCATTGCTGTGCTAGCTCTTCAGTGTTAACTAGTATCAGCAGTAAGTTTTGCTCTGAATACAGGAAGTAAATCTGTTGTACAGGCTGTATAAAAGTATGAGATCTCTAAAAATTCCCATTTGTATATAGGTTTCTCTACCCTTTGGGCAATTTCAAGCAGGGCCAGTTTGCCCCAGTGCAGATGGCATCTTACAATGACTGCCTTACTACATCACGGGTTTGTACCTATACAGCTATACTCATGGCAGGGCAGTTGGTGGCTAGCATTTCTAGTACAGATAGGGCCATAGTGTCTTGTCTGACAAAAACTCTGCTTCAAAACATGCTTTTACTGGCACATTCCTAGCAATAATGATGTAACCATGTGCTGCACACTCTGTATATAACTGATATCAACTCACAGCTTAAGGACAAATATAGCTTTTTGAGATCATATCACATAAAATGGCATGGATGCTTGGAGTGTCTGCTGGTCTGTGCTGAGAGCTAAATGTTGCTACTATGATGGAAAGTGTTCCTAAAATAGAGACGAGGGGTTCAGAATTCTGTTTTACTATTTATGTTTTCTGGGCAGCCACGGCTTGTAGAATAAATAGCTTTATGATAGTGTTGATCAACATGCTTAAGATCCCTGAAGCATTTAGATTTTTCCAGATGTACTGGAAATCCCCTTGGCTAGCCAGGTTTAGTAGGAACTGCCAGTGTCTTTACATGTGCTCTGGGAGTGGGGGTGAGGGGGCAGTTTAATTAAAGCAGCTCTCTGGGGCGACTGTAATTAAAGTGCCCATAGTGTCTTGTATATTCAGTGTCCTCCACTTAAATGGTGGCGGGGGCGCTTTAATTAAAGTTTGATGATCTTTCATTAAAGTGCCCTGCCACCATCTTGAAGCGCAAGGACGCTGAATACACAAGATGCCAAGGCTGCTGGATTAACCTAATTAGCAGATTTGAGCAGACTCAATTAATCGAGTCTGCTCTGACACGCTGCAATTACTGTGCATCAGAGCAGGTATCCCATATGTCTACAGGCACCTTATGTGACTGTGACTGCTGACCAGGTGTTTTTGTGAGTTCTTCCTCCAGGACAGAAGGCAGTCACATTGGTGTCCCATTGCAAGTGAGGCTCAGTGGTTTGCAGGCTTAGTTTGAGCACCCTTATGCAAAGTGATGTAGCCCAAAAACTGAAAGTACTTTATATCTGGGAGGTTAAATTCTAGCCCGATAACCCTCAGCACAGCTTCATTTACCCCTAGATCTTGTTATTTATTTAGATTTAAGGAATAATTTTTTAAATCTTTGGCATGCTCTTGGTGCCGCAGCACAGTGTTGTCAACTCTTGTGATTTTATCATGTCTCATGATACTTTGTGGTTTTCTTAGAGTAGCAGCTGCTGGAGTCAGGTTATTACCAAGCATCTCGGATATCATGAAGCAAATAAAAGTAATTTTCTAGCCATCCTGAGTGGGAAGAACAGTTTGAAAGAACCTTAAACATCCAAACACCAGAAGACGAATAAAGAAAGCCAGCATATATTATTTACTAAATGTTATTATGTTCAAGCTAAACTCATGATTTTGGGGGCCTGAGCTCATGGATTTTAAATCTTCCTCGTGGATAATACTGTAAACACAGTATTATTTTCCAATAATACAAGTGCAGTAAAACCCCTGCAGCACTGAAACAATCATTCAAATAGGAACTCCTACAGTGCAGGATACGCTAAGATCACTTCACCTACCAGCTGTTTAACAATGCACCACGCTTCTAAACAGAAATTGAAGCAAGAGGTAAAAAAAAATACGCCCGTTCTTTTTGTAGTAATAACACCACAGTGATAGTGTCTACCTCAAAGTACTAGGGACACAAATGAGTGGTAGGGGATGTGCTGTGATGAAAAATGCCATGATTTTGCCTGGCAGAAGGCAGGGTAGATTTGAACCTTATAGATTAACTCGTAAAATAGGAAGCACCCCACTTATTAGTTCTTCTCCCTTATTAGTTCTTATTTGTTTGTATAAAGATTGGTCATTGGGTAGAGGTACATTTTAAGGAGGGACCTTAAAGCAATTTACCCAACATGGCTCAGGTAGTCTGTGGTGAAAAAGGGAATGAAACCTAGGTTTCTGACATCTAAATTTAGCATGCTACCATTGGATTATCCTTCCTTTCATTTTCCAAGAGACTATAAATGGCCAAATTCTGCTGTAGGGTATGCTCTAGGGCTAAGTACAGATATTCAAAAAGCCTGAGCCTGAATTGATTCAATCTTTGCAGGTTAGTTTGACCTGTGTAGATTGAACCGAGAAGTAAGTGAACAGACATTCACCTTTGATTTTGGAAATGCAGCCATACACCTGCAGTGGCTCAGGCTGAAGCCGGCGAGTGCTAGAACGAGCCCTCCCTTTCCTTTGGCAGTGGCCAGAAGGCTGGAGGGAAACTGAGTTGGAGGGGCAGGGGGCATGGCCAGGCCTTGGCAGGCTTCTGAGTATGATTGGGGAGGGGTTTAAATCCCCATCCCGGCCTGTAGGTCCCTAGCCAGGGTGTGCCTGGAGGGAGAAAGGTGAAGTAGCCCCTGCCAGGTTTATCCCAGGGGGGAAGGACATGGCCAGACACTGCCTCCCCCCTCTCCCATTGGCATGGAGACTCCAACTGGGGTCTGCTGAGCTTTCCCCCCACTGGCCACTTGTGCGGGGAGGGGTGTGGCTGGATCCGTCCCGGGCAGCAGCCTCAGGCGAAGGGGAGGGAGGGGTATTAAACCCCCTCGGGTGCTACCTAGGCTGGCTCCAGCCATGGCCCCCACTGCGCAGGCAGCCAGGTGGGGTGGAGAGGAAGCCAGACAGAGAAACATTAACAGCTTCCATGCTGAATCAGAAGTACTCACTTCTGGATGTTTTCTCAGTCGCATCTATTTTTCAACAAGTGCAGGGTTTCATTCTGTCTCAATTCTCTTTGCTTCCAGCTGCTAATTCTAAATACATTGCCTTGGGACCTTGTCTTTCTGGAGCATTAATTCCTGTAGCCATTTAATCTTTCATCAGTCTTGTAGTCCCTGACATGGCAAGCTTTCTGATGAGCTTCGTCACATGCATACCAGTTGTAATTAAAACTGCAGGAGGAATTAAGGGAGGTGAAATGTAATTACCTCTGTTGGAATTCAGCCAGG